CTGTGGGGAAAAGATGAGGCTTTCTACTCTCATAAAGTTTTAGTCTCAGACACGCACAGGAGTTCCACTCCGCCCTATAGGGTCACTATGAGACAGTTGAGAGCAAACTTTGAGTAGGTTACAGAATTCACAATTTCTGGAGAGGATTTTCCCCTAGTGCTGGAAATCATCTCAACTGTAAATATCTTAATTTTTTTAAATGGGAGAGCCAAAGGGAGGTCCAATAGAAGGTTTAATCACTTTGAATGTTCTTTTGAGCAATAACCTATAGCGTAAGTGTATCACAGGATACAATAAATTTTAGTTGGGCAAATGAAAAGCCTAAAAATCTCAGTTATTTTCTCTTGTTCCTTTCCTCCTGCTGACTTGCCCTCCACTTCTGGACCTCTTGGAACTTTCCTACCTTCTGCTCTGTCATCTGGTTCCCTCCCCACTTTTCCAATGGACTGAGGTGCTCTCTAGTGTGTCAGCATAGCAGTCAGTCTCCTTTCTGCGACTTCCTTTCCTTTTAATCCATAGTTAAACTATTTCCCAATTCTCCTACACTTATTATTTTCATCTTTCTTTTTCACAGGAAAGGCAGTGCACACGGCAAGTAGGATTGGATTTTTAAACTCCTTGTTTTCAATGGATTCTCATCTATTCAATACATCCTCTATGATAGTATCTTACCCAGGGGATGGAGCAGCAGTCAACACCCAAGATTACTGGTACTCTTCAGGAACCTGGGGTGAATGCAAGTCAAAGGCAGAAAATAAGAGCATTCTACATCCATAAGTCAAAGGCAAACACATCTGAGCAGAAAAACACCTTGGGTGATTTTGAAAGAGCTATGCATGTGTTAATTACAGTCACCCAGGTCCATGGATGGGGCTGGGAAGAGGGGAGGCTAATGGGAGACCTACACAGGAAAAGTCACTCAGTGAGCAATGTCTTTTAACTTGCTGAACTATTTCCTAACTTGGTAATCTCTGTCCTTTCACCTCCCCCCACCAAAAAAATTTGGGTTTAGCGTGTCACTATGAGTTGGAATGAACTCAATAAAACAAAAAGCTCACAACTATTAAGTAAATTCCATGGCACAGAAACCCTACAGGACAGAGTAGAACTGCCATTGTGGGTTTCCAAAGTTGTCAACTCTATGGGAGCAAGAAAGCCTCATCTTTCCCCCTCGGAGTGGCTGGTGTGCTCAAACTGCTGACCTTGTGGGTTAGCAGCCCATATTGGAACCCACTACTAAGACGACAAGGCTCAGAACATTTAAATGGGGGAGGCCCCCCCCCCAGCAGCGCACTGGAGTTAGCAGATTAGGCAATAAATAAGCATGATGAGTCTACTTAAAGCAGAACATACCTAGATCATCTGCATCCTTAAATAGCCAATGGAAAAACTCAACTATCAAATCTTAACCATAAAGCTCATTGAGTGTTTTTTTTAATATGTATAGGCTTCAAAAGATTTTTATGATTTGAAGATAACGTTTCCAGAATATAATTTCCAAATGAATCACTGATATGCTAAGACTTACCTTATGCATATTTATGATACGGAAGATGCCCTGGGTTAAAAAATATTAACATGTCGCTGTACTAAAAGAATCAACATGTGCGTATTTTAATGAATTGAACAATTTTGCTAAAAAAGATCTTTTCCATACCAAAAAATTCAAGTATAATATACACTTTGCCAAATATACATTTACTTCATAAAACGTTTTTTAATAAAGCAGTAATTGTCTTTAAAGCTAGCCGACCAGTGAGCAAAGTGTGAACTATTTAGATCTTCACACTTCACTGAGATTCAGAATGACAAATGCCAGGCCTTACTTCTGCTTACAGATGCAAAGGCCATCAGCTCACTTAAAAATACCTGCCAGAGACATCTGTGTAAGTCAAAACCGACACTGTGGTCTAGATGTAAACCTGGGAATCTACTGTCAACAAAAGGATTGAAAGAAAGTTTTTATAAACCATGTCAAAAGACAAGATCCTGAAACATATTTTGGGGTATCTTGGATTATACAGTGAATACCTTAGACTCACACTTTACAATCTTCCAAAGCTCTCCATAGATTTTTTTTAAAATACACGGTTCCATTTCTCAGGCTATAGGGCTCCCTTCATACCAACAGGTGAGAATTGTCATAATTCTTTACCAACTCCCCAATGGCACAGGCTGCCTGCTTCCTGCATGCACCTCAGGGGGCCTTCTCCCCACTCTAGCGGAGACAAGAGAAAGCAAGGTGACCTGAGTTCCAGTCTGGACGGTGCCACTGGCTCTGGACTACGATCTTCCACTTTTCTGGGCCCCGTTTTCTATAGATAGGAACTCAGTGAGCGAGTTTAGGCCTGGTCTCTTCGGTGATGATCCCAGACAGAGTATAGTTGATTTAAATTTTTAAAATTGATACACCTAGGTATAACCACCCTGTTCGCTAACTCAAAGAAATATGGCCAAATGTTAATAGTTATTAACCCACATAGAAGATTTATGGGTCAGTCTGCTATTCTTTCAGCCTTTCTTATATACTTACAATATTTCATAAAAGAAATTTTAAAGCTAAAAATGTAAAAGAAGATTTCAATAACCCAGAAAGTAAACTGACGTTGATTCTCTGAAGCAAGGCCAGCACTGCTGTAGCTGTCTGTACTTCTGGTCCCTCTCTGGCACTGTGCCTATGCAATGAATGCTAACAAGTCCTTGTTTTGAGACCTGTGGGATGGGGGAAAGGGGCCCTATTTTCAAGGAGCTCAAAACAATCTCCTGTGAAAGCATCTAGATTCTCTAGAAAGTTTTGATAGTGTAAAGATAATGTACAAGGGGGTCTTCCAAAAATGCCTGGGAAAATGACATCGGAAGAGAATGGAATTTTCCCCGTGAACATTCTGGCCCCCCACCCCACCCCACAAAAGTGAAGTCTCAAATCTGCCTGATTTAGTGTGTCTCAACATTTAGACAAAAAAGTTATAAAGGCAGGGATCCCCCTTTGATAAGCATGAAACTCACTCACTGCCTTCCATTTTTCTAATCACAGTCCTAAACGTTTTACATTATATTAACGAACAACTTGAAAATTGTTTCCAATGGCCAGGCTCTTATTGAGTTTTCCTACGGAATTAACTTAAGAAGGAAGGCTTGGTAGCATTTTTATTTTCATGAGACTCCCACACAATACCTAGCCATGGGAGACCAATCCCCTCTGATGATGTATATGCAAAAGGTACGATTTACAAAATTGCTCAAGAGTATTAGCTTCCAGCCACTGTCACTATCATTATCTAATAATGAGCCTATACAGGGTCTCCACAGAATAGCACTTACAAATCACTTGCTGCTATCAATGACCCAGCGTACTGCCCCTTAAGAGGGGAAATGTTATTTTCCAGGCCACAAGTACTTCATCCAGACTGATGATGCAGAGGTTTCATTTGCTTTAGTAATGGAGAGCACAAGCATTTAATGTATAAAGATAAAACAGGTTTCCCCAGGGAAAGGGAGCAATACAAACAATGGGGGGGTGCAGATCAAAACACAGATACAAGTGATTTACATAGTTGATGTGGGGGTGATTAGTACTGAACAGTAATTATTAGTTAAGTATTCTTTAAGAGAATAAAGATAAAAATCCCATGAAATTGAGCTCTCGATTAAAAGCAAGTTCAGGACATTTTGCAGGATTTCAGAGGGGAAGCAAACCAAACCAAACCAAGGGAAACCAAACCAAACCTGCAAAGCTGCTGAGGGTTATTCAAAGGCACAGATTGGTTTTTCAAGAGGTCTTAACTACTCGCCTTTGCAGATCGCTCTTTTGCTACCATGAGATCTGGTGGCTAAAGCAGACGGCTTGTTTCACATGAAGGGTTGTCACCAAAAGCGTGCTTTCGAGAAAGAAGATGCAAGAAGTAAACAGAGCCCCAGAGGTAACTATGTGATTAAAAACCAATTAAGTCCAGCAATTACTGAAACTGCTTTCTCTCCTTTGGGCAAGAAAAGATCACAAGTGAGACGGTGATATAAAAATGAAATGACTTAGATGCAAAAGAGAAAAAAAAGGGCCCAGGCCACTTTAAAGGAAGACCATTTCGAAGAGAGCAAAACTATGAGGATGGTCGAATGTGCCCAAGGATGTCTCATCCATGTAGATAGAAGGGTTACAGCCCATTTGTTAGAAAGGTCAAAGTGCAGGTTTCAGACAGAGAGAACTTTTCCGTGCTGAGTTCGTATTTGCAGTGAAATGGTAGGAGGATGGGGGGCAAGACTATGTGAGAGGGGAAAGAAAACCACCACTGGTGCCCATTGGTTCTCAAGAGCCATTTTATGTCTCCTTACTAGATTTCAGAGGAACAAGACACTATTAATACGTCATTCAGAACGATGAAACTCCTTCTCAACTCCAATTGCAGCATGTATTATTTGAATTAATTTTTAAGCAGCGAGCTGGCCTGACCCAGTTCAGACTTACCGTATATACTCGTGTATAAGCCGAGTTTTTCAGCACATTTTTTTCCCTTTAGACAAAACTATAGTGCTTCAAATGGCACATGAATTGTTTTTTTTAAATTAAATACTTGTATTGGGGGATCTTACATCTCTTATCACAATCCATACATTCATCCAGTGTTCAGCACATTTTTATGCATTTTTTTGAGGTAAAATGAGGTGCCTCGCCTAATATTCGGGCCAGCTTATACTCGAGTATATACAGTAATTACTCTGTGAAAAGACAGCAAAGCTGAAGCAACTTTTAATACTTCAGATTATTCTTCAACTTTTACAAAGTACATTAAAATCAAACTGTTCTACTACCTACCTGGTCCAGCTTTTACCCACAAAATATGCATGAACACCCCTACATTGCACACGGTACAACAAAGTAAGCTTATCATGCATAAACTATTTATTCCCTGTATGGCTTTTGACCAGTCTGGGTATCATATCCATAAAGACATTCTGTCCTAACTGAACAATAAGTCCTATCTATTACTTTCACATGCACTAACCTTCTCAAAAACACTGGATGGGGTCATCAAACAAAACCTGATGTTCTGAATGATGGTATCGGTATGTCTCCAGCGTCTTCTATCATGTCGCAGCCAAGACTGCACAGCCTCGTAGAGCTCTATCTCGGGGAACCTGCTCAGGTGATCATTATCCAGGTATGCCATGAGCTTCTCAAAGCTTAAGTAAGACAGGAAGTCGGGCCTAGACATGAGTGGCACAAAGTTGTCTAGAAGGAAGGCATCCAGCTTCTCCCTGACTCCCTCGATGTTTACACCGAAATCATCTAAGAGTCTCATAATTTCGGCACAATTTTCTAAGCAGATTTTCGCTAGTAAGAAAGAGCAGCAGAACTTCACCACTTCTATAAGTTGCACATACATGGCAGCCTGGAGGATCTCATGAACAGTATTCATACTCAATTCTATAGTTCCATAGTACATAAATTGCAGGACGTGGCTGAAACCAGTGGCTGTTAGACCTTTTAAGTGAATTTTGTCCTGATCTCGTTCCCTCATATCGGCAGTAAACATGATCCTGAAGTAATCGCTCTGGGTGGCCAGGAGTGCTTTATGGGCCTGGAACTGATGATCTTCGATGACCAGCGTGACATCAAGAAGCAAGCCCTCCTCATACAGTGCTCTGAACCCAGCAGAGACACTGGTGTCATGGATGGAGGAACAGAACCCTTCCACGTCCCCTGCCATGAATCACCTGGAAAAAAAGTAATCCAAGAAAAATGGCGTTAAGCATGTCCATGCATTCTGAAGGTATTAATAACTTACGAGCTTCAACGATTTTTATAATGATCTCATTTCCACAGCCAAATTGTGAATGCACAAGCCTTTTGGGAGAAGACCATGAGGATTTGCAGACTGCTGTTTCTGGCTTCCTTTCCGGGAACAAGTCCATCCAAGCAATGTTAAATGGTCAACTCACACACAGCATATGCCTTTCGCACTGAATGTACACAGTTCATCGAATATACTTCAACATGCCCTCAAAACCCAACACACAAATGGCTTCCTGGTTAAAGACTAACTGATGATCCCAAAAGGAAATTAAAACATAAGTTCACTCGTGGCTTGGAAAACACCTAGAAATCTATTTTAAGGAAATAGTCGGATAAATAGGCAGTTATACATACATTGCTCTTTATAGTCTTATTTACAATAAAAAATAGATAAAGCATTCAAAAAGCCAATAGCAGCATATTCAATATTATACAGTCCTACAATGGATTACTAGAACGATGAAAAATGATGGCGATTACCTACCTAGTCTGACAAAGGGTATTTATTAGACGGTCTGTGAGAACAAAAAGCAGTCAGGTGCCAAACAGTGAACGTGTTTTTCAAAGTTAAATGTACATGCATGTGTTTGTATCAGAAAGAGACGATATACTAATACAAAGGGTCTTCAAAAAGTTTGCGGAGAATTGGAATTAAGAGAGAAAGCAATTTTTTCATGAACTTTCCGAAGCTCCCTCATATAGACATCAAAATGATGTCCCTAGGTAATAGGATTTCAGTAAATTTGGAGGCTTTCTCTGTTTACCTGCTTCATTGATCTTATCTTTAAAAACAATGATCACTTGTTATCTATATATTTAACATGTAAAAAGTATTTTTGAAGGAATAGTCCACATCTGTGCATGTCAACAAAATGAAGCTAATATTGTAGAATCACAATTAGATCTCTTAAGCAAAGCAGAATCAACTAATTCAGTCTATTAACCTGTTTATGAAGTAATTTCCCTTTCCAAACACCCTCCCCCCCTTCTCAGGCTCTCAGTCCTCACACTGCCTAGAGCTTCCTCCCCAATAACCCAGCCTCCCATTCCCTAATTCCCTCAGCCTTCTCCTCCCTCTGCCCTACACACACTACTTTAACTTCTGTTTGGCAGAATGGGTCCTCTACTCCCTTATTTAAAGAGTTTCCTTAAAGGCACAAGATTTTGGCCTCCTACTTTCTCCCCACTCCTCTGAGAAAAAAGCCTTCTTCCAGAGCTTACAGATCTATCTTCTAAGCCTTCCTCCTTTAGCTTTCTATTGCCCTATGAGATAACAAATCAAAACTGTGAAGTCCTTGATGTCTACATAGCCAAGAAAAAGAGGATCAATCATCGACATGTGGTTCTTCCATGAACATCATGTCCTTCCGATCAGAGCCACACATGTCAGCACATGGAAAGCAGCTGATTATTTACAAAAAAGGAAGCAATCTCAAAGAACAAAAAATCATACCATTGTGTGCTCAACTCCATGATATGATCGCTGAAGACAAATGGGTGCATAAGCAAATGTGGCGAAGAAAGCTGATTGTGTCCGGCTATCAAAAGGTATAGCATCTGGGGTCTTAAAGGCTTGAAGGTAAACAAGTGGCCATCTAGCTCAGAAGCAACAAAGCCTACATGGAAGAAGCACACCAGCCTGTGCAATCACGAGGGTGTCAAAGGGATCAGGTATAAGGCATCATCAGAACAAAAAATTCTTACCATTAGTGAATGAGGGGGGGAGTGAAGAGTGGAGACCCAAAGCCCATTAGTAGGCCACTGGACATCCCCTTGCAGAGGGGTCTTGGGGAGGAGACGAGCCAGTCAGGGTGCGATGTTGCAACGATGAAAACTACAACGTTCCTCTAGTTCCTAAATGCTTCCCCCCCCCCCCACTATTATGATCCCAATTCTACCTTGCAAGTCTGGCTAGACCAGAGGATGTACCCTGGTACAGATAGGAACTGGAAACACAGGGAACCCAGGGTAGATGATCCTTTCGGGACCAGTGGTGTGAGTGGCGATACTGGGAGGGTAGAGGGAGAGTGGATTGGAAAGGGGGAACCAATTACAAGGATCTACATGTGACCTCTTCCCTGGGGGACGGACGACAGAAAAGTAGGTGAAGGGAGACGTTGGACAGGGCAAGATATGACAAAATAATAACATAAATTATCAAGGGCTCATGAGGGAGGAGGGAGCGGGGAGGAAGGAGAAAAAATGAGGACCTGACACCAGGGGCTTAAGTGGAGAGCAAATGTTTTGAGAATGATGAGGGCAATGAATGTAGAAATGTGCTTTACACAATCAATGTACATATGGATTGTGGTAAGAGTTGTATGAGCCCCTAATAAAATGATTTTTTTTTAAAGTAAAAAAAAAAAAAAAAAAGGAAGCAACATACCAAGAGGCTAGTGGGGCCCCATGACTCAAATGCTGACCAGGCAGAGCTGGAAAATATCTCCATGGGCCCTGCTAGGCACTCTAGATGAGGAATTCAAAAGGGACAGTGACATGGCCTGCCCCCTTGCCTTCGGGAAACTATCCTGGTGGCAGCAGAGAACACTTGCCCGTGTGCCTTTCACCTGGCTTTGTGGGTAGAAAACCAAAAACCAAACTGTTATCAACGCCTATTCAAAAAGAAGGAGGCTTCAGCTATCATACGAATGTTTTGACTGAAGATTCTATAGCAGATTCCTGAACAAAAGAGGGAAGAACTAGGGGTCAACAATTCAAATTCTCATAGAAGCCAAGCTTTCTTGTGCCACTGAGGCTGGACCAACCCCAAAATTATTGATAGCCCTGTGAGAAGTGTTAAATCTTCAAACCTTAAAGCACAGATATCCTCCCTGATGTCCCACCACACACTAGCTTAGCTGAATTACCAGTAGTAAAGAATGTCTGCTCTGAGAACTATGTTCTTTTAACTCAACTCATGGCCACTGAGTCACTTCTGACTCATAGCGACCCTACAGCACAGGGTAACACTGCCCCCGTGGGTTTCTGAGACACATTCTTTCCAGAAGTAGACAGCCTCATCTTTCTCCCTTGGAACAGCTAGTGGTTTCCAACGGCTGATCTTGCAGTTAGCAACCTCATGTGTAACCACATGGCCCCTAGGGCTCCCAGAATCTACCTATGCAGGAGACCAAAGTGACGACAACAACTCCAAAGGTCAGATAGGCAGTTTAGAGGACTGTGAGTTTAAGCGGAGGTGAGAATGCTTGCGCTACTCACAGAATCTAGGCAGTGTCATCACTAACTGAACACAGAGGAACTGCTGAAGGGCTGCATGATCTGCTATGGGGGTTCTTACGGACAAAACAAAGCTGAGAATGGTCGCAGAAATGGATGTATAGAGGATCTAATGCCAGGGGCTTAAGTAGAGAGGAAATGTTTTGAGAATGATGAGGGCAATGAATGTACAAATATGCTCTACACAATTGATGTATGTATGGATTGCGGTAAGAGTTGTATGAGCCCCTAATAAAACGATTTTTAAAAATGGATGTATATCAGTGGCCCTTTACTGTGCGTGCAGAAATTGGTAAATTGGTCTAGGTAGGTGAGCAGGGGGGTGTGTGCTTCCACCTGGCACTCAAACCCAACTGCTGTCAATTCAAACTCAGTGACCCTATACAGAACAGAGTAGATCTGCCCTGTGGGTTCCTAAGACTATGGATTTTTACAGGAGTAGAAATCTTCATACTCTAAATCTTTGCAGGAGTAGAAAGCCTCATCTTTCTCCCCCACCAAGCATTTTTATACTCCCAAGTCCCCGTGGCACACTACATGGATGAACATCAGGGCTTGGGTGGAGGACAGAGGCCTCATAGTGGCACCCTCCTTTCTGAGCCCTCCCAGCTCATTTTCACATGTGTAAGTGGTACCCAGCTGTTTTATAATACTTTCACTGCTTCAGCTATTTTCAGAAACGTTTTTCTGTTCCATGCCCTTTTCTACAACTTGACCTTTCACTCACGGAAAAAAAAAATCAAAACACCACACCAGAAAATAAAACCTTCATCTTTTATGTCTCCTTATCACTTATCAGCTACACTCTTCACCCACGTCTGCTAACAACTTTAGCACCCTGGCTAAGAGTCGTCTGCTTCAGTTCATCCATTTTCACGAGACTGCCCTCCAGGGTCAAAGCCCCTGACCACCTCAACTCCTACAACCTCCCCTTAACTCCATTTCAAAACCCACTCCTCAAACCCTCAGACCTGGCTACAATCTAGAACTGGTCCACACCTGAAACTTTAACTGCATTCCCCCCCACCCCCACCCCCTGTCTTAAACTCCTTCTCTTTCACTTGCTCGATCATCTCCTAACTCTACCACCAGTCCCTCTACAGCTAGATTTCTGGTACATAAGAGGCATTTCTCTGGCCAGGTTTTTGGGTCCCCTACCCCTTTACCTGTCCTCCATACTTATTCTATTATCCTAGAAACTCTGATGGCAGTATTGTCAATTTAAAAGCCCTTTAATCATGGGTAGGCCTTCTGTACCTCTGCGCTTCCATGTAGCCCTCAAATTCAATGCCATCAAGTCAATTCCGACTCATAGTGCCTCTACAAGACAGGGTAGAACTGCCCCTGTGGGTTTCCGAGACTAGGAATCTTTACAGGAGTAGAAAGTCTCATCTTTCTCCTGCACCTAGCACTAGTCACCCATTTTTTACCCCAGTTGTAAAAGCATTCCCTGTTAATGTACACTAAATACACAGGGAGAGCTCGGAATAACGGATATGGACAAATCTCTAGGATATCACAACCATTTTTAAAGTATTATTGAGGAAGACAGTGAGCCCCCATGGCTTGGAACTATGTGTTGGAGTCATTTAGTGACACACTATCTACAGACTAACTCGGCCTAGAAGAGGACAACCCAAAGATGTCGTGGCAAGTATCTAGGCTATAGACTCCCCTACCTCCC